CTGCCACTGTCCTCACTGGACGTAGTCACAGTGTACACCCCACCAAGGTTTCCAGAGGAAGTGACCAGTAAAGTAGTCACAAGCCACATAATCAAAAACACATGTCTGTGGGGTGCAGATGCTGGAGAACAGAGACCGCACTAAGGCAGGAGTGAGTCGCGAACCCACTCCTGAGGTGTCAGTACCCAACAGGACTCAGGTGAACCACCCTCCTAAGAGGACTTCAGTCACGGCCCATAGTCACTAATCTACCCTAATGTCCTAGCATGGGAGTAGAGGAGGGCAATTTTAATAGATTTAAATCTAAAAGGCTTGAAATCATGTAGTCCTCTCATTTCACTTCAATTACAATTACTGCCAGATTCTCGCCTGCAAACCTGACAACCTAAAAGCGATCAGTCAACAGAAGACAGCGCCTTACCTCATAAATAAGGTGTGCATACTCATTAATTAACTTTTAAAATGTTTTTTCCTCAGCTCTCAGGAGAGGCAGCTCTGGAATAGGAGGGCATAGTTAACCTGCAGTTTGTAGGGGAGATGTCCTAAGGCATGTCGGTTCCACAGTTGGAGAGACTGGGATTCACAGCCCAGCTTCAGCATTAACCGGTTAGCTGTGTGATCTTAGACAAGTCCTTTCACCTCTCTGAGCCTGTTTCTTCACAGTAAAGTGAGGTCAACTAGTCCTGTGTCTCAAGGTTGGAGTGGGGATTTACAGAGACGACCTACATAAAGTGCTCAGCATGTGCTGTGCACACTGTGGACATTCACGGGAATATTTAGCATGATTCAGAAGAAACTGGAAAGGAGGGGAAAAAAAAGTCTTCTCAAGTCACTTCCATTGTGCCTAGCAAAAAGGCAGATGCTTGCTTTGGTCCTCCCCAAATGGCTAATGCATGGAGACAAGATGTTCTCCCCAGGTATTCCCCTGCACCACCCTCTCCTTTTCTGTGCTGTTCCTTGAACAAAGAAAATGGAGAAGCAGTCTATGATCAGGAGTCTGCCCCAGTGACATTAACAGAAAACTCAGGGTTGGGAGCGCTTAGAAAGAAGAGAGGCAAACTCTTGGAATGACTTTTAGAACATTCCAGTAGCCCCGACCCAGAGATTCCTTTCACATATCTCTCCCCAGCTGTCGTCCCACTTATAAAATGGGACTAACGATACTATTAGGAGTTAAAGCTACTAAGTAAATTAAAATCAAGCACTGGACTGCTGAATTTTATACTGACACTGAAGAGATCAACTAACACAGTGATGCAAGCCGGTGGCATCTGCCTGGGGAATTTCTGGAGCCTCAAGACCTTTCAGATGCAGAAGGAGGGAATAATGAAAGAACTGAGCAGTCAGACGCCAGAACACTGAGGTCGGAATGAGGTAGAACAGTCCTTCTCAAAAGTCAGTATACATAAAAATCCCTTTGGGAATCTCAAGAAATGCAGGCTCCTGGGCCTGTCCGCTGGTAGTTCTGAAGCAGGAAGTGAGATGTAAGGCCCAGGAATGTGCATTTTAATAAGCACCTAGGTTATTTCTGAGCAGGTGGTTCAGGTTCACACTTGGACAGACACTGACAGGTGTTACTGCTTTGTTTGTGGATAATAAACACTTTTCCTGGTGCAAGAGATCGAAAGAGAACAAATAGAACTTGAACCCTTAAACTTGGTAACTTTCAAGATAATTAATAGAGACTGGCTACTTGCTGGAAAAGTGAAGTATTCATACACACACACACACACACACACACACGCACGCACACACCCTGGGTTGGGTAAAAACTAAATTACATTCAGATGATTTAATATTTTTCTGAGATGGAATAAATTCAGTGGCTGAGTGAAAGGCAACAGGCAAACTATCTATCACGTGAAGTTAACAGCTAGGGTAATATTTCAACCACCCATCTTGAAAAGGAAGCTTGGACCAAGAACACAACAGGACAATATAACTGCATTTAAGCACGTACATCAGGAAGGGTTAAATATAATCACATCTGAAAAATAGCTATTACCACTCCCCAGATACCCAGAAAGAGGTGTAGGGGTCCAAGGTGACCTAATATTTTCATAAATAACTCAGAAGATGGAGAGGGAATTATGTAAATCAAACCATCAATGATACAAAAATGGCAGGGATTGCAAACCTGTGAAGAATGAAATTTAACTACTGGGCAATGTCCTTAAATTTGCCTTTATTGAATCTTGTATATTGAAGTCACATATTATTGTATCTGTTTATTGAGACTCAATAGGGCCAAATGCAGAGTGATTTATGGAAGAAGAAATAATCAAGTGCAGAAGTAGAACAGCGTAGACACCTGGAGGGGCACGAACAAGGAGCCCCTCAGCAGGGAGGGCAGTCACTGATTGGGAAGTGGTGGAAATGGTGCACGTGCAATGGGAAGGCCGGACACCTCTATTCTCTACCGATGTGGGCTATGCCGAGAGTTGACGTGGAAAATAAAAAAGGAAATGTGTCTGTTGCACTTTAAGCCAGTTTGCCTGGAAGCTACCTCCAACGGGAGTGTTGTGCTTACCTGTAGACCTGGAAGGGAATTTGGGGCAGGATGCCACAAAGATTATGGGGCATGGCCTAGGTTGATGGAGTATACAAAGGGTGTTAAGGAGTTCTTCCAAATAGCCAAAATGCTAAATGCCCTATGTGCTGGGGAAAGGTCCACAGAAGACAAGATGGCCTGTAGGAGAGAACATTTTCAGCTCCTATTTAAGAAAAGCCAGTCACTCAAAGCACACAGCTGGAATCATGGAGAAAGCGTAGTTCATGGTAACGCCATCCCAGGGGACATTCAAGGAGGCGACCAAACACTTCTCTACTTAGGATGCATTAGAAATTATTAAAAGCTTTCTTTGCCCAGATCAGAGGTTGGGGGTGGGCCTCATGACCTCTCCAAAGGTCATTTCTATCCCAAAGGATCACATGTCTGAAGGGCACCAGATAAAAATAAAGTCTATTAATCACTGAGCTGCCACACAATTTCCTAAGAGGGCCAGAATAGAGAAGGCCAATCTACAGTGGACCTTGCTCCGTAGAGGGAGGGAGAGGAAGGTAGCACATGTGCTGCAGTGCCAGAAAACAGCCGCTGAGACTTCCGGCATCAGCCCGTGACTAGGCCTCCCAAGCACTGCAGGGTAAGAAGGAGGAGGAGACCCTGTGGGGAGGCACACAGGAAACACATGGCAGTGAGAGCCCTAAACAAGGCCACGGGAGCTTGCAGGAGAGGGTGTGAGGCAAGCGTTTTGTGCAGAATAAGGGGAGGCAGGCAGGAGCGAGATTCCTCCCAAGGGCACTTCATGGAGATCATCTACAAGGAGGCACAAGTCAGTGGGAATGAGGAGCTGGGAGCTGGATGAGGCAAGACAAAGGGACACACAGGGTGTGCCTGGGATGTATGGGATTATAATTGGCTGTGACTCTGATGAAAACTGCAGAGACAAAGCAAAAAGTAGTTCCACTAACTATGGTAGCAGAGAGTCACAGGATGAAAATAAAGCTTGTGATAGAGGACTGGAGAGTAGCAATGCCAAAGTAGCTGCTGGCCTTCTAGACAGATGGATCCCTCCTGCAGATGCAGCTGGAAGACCTGTGCTATGGGGGTCTCGGGATTCTTCCCAGTCAGCCCACAGCCAGTCTCCCAAGGGCTAGCATGCTTGGGCTTTTGTGCGTCAGAACAAAACTGAACCCACTGAGGAAGCACACTCAGGCCAAAGCAGGCCTCCTGGCGTTGCCTCAGACCCTGTGTTCCTCTTCATCCTAGAAAGGAATTGCTTGGGGGTGGAGGTGGTTACCTACAGGAGTCATCTCAGGAATAGCATCTGCACAGTGTATCATGCAGCCAAATGGGGGCCATCGAGTTTGAGTTCTTCTAGCAAAATATTCTCCAACCAGCTATCACCCCACCAGGCACAGACCACTTTTTGAAATCGAAAGAGGTCAATGAAGAGAGAGAGAAAAGGTACCTCCTCCCCACAACCTGCTCCCTGCTCCCCCCTCATCCTGGCTCTTGCCTGGCCTGCATGGAGACTGCAGACTGGCAAGATGGATAACATCCAGAGGGACCACCGTGCCAAGGTCTTGCCTCTGCTGTCTCACTGCCATTCTCACTGTGGCCCCTTCTACCTGGTGGCAAGTTTGCATCCTCTGAGAGGAGAAGAGGGCAAAGGAAGACTGCTAGGAGTAAGGTTTTGAGGGCTGCCCTTACCATGGAATGAGCAGATGGCACCAACATGGTGAAAAGATAACTAGGGCAAGGATTTTAAACCCACCACCCAACGCTCAGCAGGGGAGAAAGACAAGAGCTGTCTGAGCCACTCACGATCCCTCCTCAAAGCTGAAGCTTTCCTGGGGTCTACCTGCTGCCATCGCTCCCTGTAGCTCCTCTCCCTCAGCCCCTCCCTAGCTCTGTCTGCAGACCCTAAACGCAGGAGCCAGGCAGTGGCTTGTCCAAAAGACATTTCTAAAGCAAGCAAGAAAGGCTAGAGAAGGATCGAGAGCCATTTATTAAAGTAAGTCATCGTCAATCAAAGATTCATAACTTGCCCTACCTAGGACAGGAGGGAGAGGAAATTAGAAGGAAAAAATGAAAAGCCACAGGAGCCAAGTACCTTGGTGGAGGGTTCTGAGTTATGCATTTGTTTGTAAGTCTCTGAAATAGATAAAGAAATAGAGAATGACTCTTAAAGGAGACAGAGCGAGGGAGAGAGCAAGAGCAGGAGAAAAGCCACCAGGACCAGAGAGAGGAGCACAGCATTGAAGGTGGGAGGCTTGCCCAGCTGGCTTCCCTCCTGATCAGAGACACTGGGGCCAGCCACAACCACAGCTGCAACAGCAGCAGGAGGGGGTGACTGAGAGGAAGTGGCAGGCAGTTAAGCAAGTGGGGGTACAGGCCCCAGAGGAGGGGACGAGTGAGCCTGGAGGCCAGTAGGCCAAAGCCAAGACCTCACAGGGAAAGGTAGGCCAGGGGCAGGGGCCAAGGAGCCCATACTTACTGTCACAGACGTAAGGTTTGTCGTGGTCTTCCTGAGAGGCAGCATCGTGCCTCCTCCTGCCACCTGCAGAGCCACGAGCCTGGAGAGACATGGGGTGTGGGGTGCTTGTTACTAAGGGCATTGCCGCAGTTCCCGCACCTGCACTCCACGAGCCCTGAGCACTTCACCTGGGTCTCCTCGTGTCACCTTCATCACAACCCCTGTACCAAGACCAGCCCTATTCTACAGGGAAGACACCAAGGCCCAGAGAGGTTACTGCCTCCAAATCCCTCAGCTACTCTCCCGTTTCGTGTCATTAAATCTTCATGTCAACCCTAGGGGTAGGCACTACCCTGATGCCCATTTTACAGATTGGGTAACTGTGGCAAGCGAGGTTAAGCCACTTGCCCACGGCCATCCAGCTGTAATTACAGAGCCAGAACATGAATTCAGCACAGTCTGACTGAAAAGCCCATATCCCAATTTCCCACAGGCTGCTGGTGCCACGAGGGCCCCCTCCTCCTGCTCTTCAACTTTCCAGTGCCATCGACACAGCATGAAGATGCCAGCCCCATGCCCCTCAGCTGATCGGCCAATGGCATTTGGGAGCAAGTCCAGACAGAGGCAAGAAGCTTAACAGCAGTCGTCCCCTAATCTCATGTGCCCACACTTTCCACCCCCAAAGTGCCCCAAAAGCCAGGTACGCATGGCATCTGGGGCCCTAGGCTCAAGCTCAGGCATGGGCGCTCTCCCTCCCCTCAGCAACACTTGTCCTAGCAGTAGGGGTGGGCTTCAGCTAAGACCTCCCTGTAGGGTCTGCTTTGGGCCTTGAGCCAGTGACAAAGACTTTGAGCTGAGCTCTCTGTGTGCATCTCCCAGAAACAGTCAGCAAGACCTGGGGTGGGGGTGGAAAGAGTTTTACCTTCCAGAATAAAAGAGACCAGCCAGAGGTTGCTGGCAGCTCTGCAGCCCCAGGACAGTGGCTATTTTTAAACCTTGGTAAGTCCCACACTGGTCACGTGGGTAGCACCCTGAACTCCTCTAGGTCATCCTTTGGTAATTAAAAGCATATACTCCCAACCAAGGAAAAGGCTTGCTGGGGTCTTTGGGGACAGACAGGAAGGGGCAGCAGCCTGGGATGTAGGCAACATGAGACAGTCCCAAGGCCCTGGCCTAGAAAAGTGGCCCTGAGGACTTCATAACAGCAAGGCTCATGCATGCACATACGTGTGCACACACACACACACTCACAAGTGCACAGTCACTGAGAACTTCATGGTGGAAAGACCTGCAATGCTCTCTTACACATTCACATACACCTACAAGTGTACACACTCACATGTGCACAGTCACTGGGGACTTCATGGTGGAGAGGCCTGGGAGGCTCATACACACTCACAAAGGCATACACTCATTCATGAGTACACACACATTCACTGAGCACTTTGTGGTGAAAAAGCCTGTACCCTGAGCCTGCAACACACACACTCTCACAAAACCCACACTTCGCATCAACACCACCTGCCAAGCTACCCCCTCTGCCACCTCTTCAGCTTGTCTCTCCAAAACAAATAACAGAATTCCACCTCCCTCCCTCCCCTGGTCTTTGGTTCTCCGCCTCCACCCCTATGCCCAGTTGACAGCCAACAGCCTCCTCCCCTCGCCCTCATTACTCAGCGCTGACCCCAAGAGGGAGCTGTGAGGCTCTGGCAGTCACCCCGAGGCACTGACTGGCCTCCCTGCCTGCCTGCCCACAATGCTGGGGGTGACCGCCCTCGCTAGCCTCACCCCCACGCGCCCCCATTCAGTGAGGCCAGGGACAGCTTGACGCTCGCAGCCCACAGCCCTGTCACAGTAGGCTCCGAGCAGGTGAAAGCAAGTCAAGCAGAATGACGAGGCAACAGCAGACTCGGGGAAGGGGCTCAGTGAGACTAAAAATATCTCCAGGGGAAACAGGAGGAGTCGGCCCACTAAAAACGCCAAGGCTTCTGGGGAGCTGCCTGCAGGAAAGGGAGGCCCCGCTGCCAGCCGGCTTTCACTTCATTCTGCAGGGCTGACCAGCAGGGTGACTTCGGCTCTCATGTGCCCTGTGCCTTCTCTTCCTCAGCTGCAAAACAGGGACCACAGCTACAAGGCATGTGACGGGGCAGGCAAGGGAGTCCTGACTATACAAGAGCACTTGTGTAGTCTCCTGGAAGACCTCACCCGGGAAATGGAATCCTGTTTGTCTTGCTCCAGTGACACCTGCTCAGAGAAGCCCTCCCTGATCAACTTTGCCCCCATCCTTCTCTTTCCCCACCCCTGTTCTGTTTCTTTGAATCCTGTTTGTCTTGCTCCAGTGACACCTGCTCAGAGAAGCCCTCCCTGATCAACTTTGCCCCCATCCTTCTCTTTCCCCACCCCTGTTCTGTTTCTTTGAATCCTGTTTGTCTTGCTCCAGTGACACCTGCTCAGAGAAGCCCTCCCTGATCAACTTTGCCCCCATCCTTCTCTTTCCCCACCCCTGTTCTGTTTCTTTGAATCCTGTTTGTCTTGCTCCAGTGACACCTGCTCAGAGAAGCCCTCCCTGATCAACTTTGCCCCCATCCTTCTCTTTCCCCACCCCTGTTCTGTTTCTTTGAATCCTGTTTGTCTTGCTCCAGTGACACCTGCTCAGAGAAGCCCTCCCTGATCAACTTTGCCCCCATCCTTCTCTTTCCCCACCCCTGTTCTGTTTCTTTGCAGCACCTAGCATTGTCTGGCACTACATTGTCTACTTTTTGACTTTCTCCTTTCTCCGTGACAGAGTGGACACCACGTCTATTTGGGCCACCACTATGCTTGAAACCTGGCACAGGGCCAGCCACATGAAAAGCATTTCATGAATGTTTGCCAAATAAACAACTCAATCAATCAACCAAGTAGTGAGTCAATCATTTTGGGGGTTTGTCCTTCCTTCTTTATATTCAAGTGCTCTTATTTCTTCTTCTTTTTCCCCCCAAGAGGGCACACTCATATGCCAGAAAGAGACAGAGAAAGAGGGGGAGAGAGAGAGAGTAAGCACACCCAATGGGGTACCACAATTGCTCCTGCTTCATTCCTACATCCTGTGGGATTGGGGACACCCAAGCACAGATGCCAAGCATGTTTTTAAAGCTGCCAGGGACAAGATTTAAACTGTGGTCAACCACATGGGATCTGGCTCCTTTCATCACTAGGCCACGGGGCCAGCTCTACTGTTTCTTCCTTTAAAGACCATGTCAGGCTTTACGTTTCCTTTCCATCCTATACTCTAAGCCAGGAGCTTTTCAGGTTACCTCAGAACTGCTCAAGGAGCCCACCAGCAGAGGATCCACCTTCACAATGCCCTGCCCAATCCACCCTGCATGGCTGCCAGACCACGTAGACCAAAGAGATAACAGACAAGACCTCACGGTCATTCATTCACACATGCAGTCATTCATTGCCACCTACAGACCATTTACACATCCAGGCTCACCCATACTCGTGCCTATCCACGTCTTTGTTTCTGCCGACCCCTCTCACGGACCAGCCTCTCCTCAGCCCATCCACATCTGACTCCTGTTTTACCCTCACTAGCATCCTTCTCCTCCAAGAATCTTCCTTTTGCCACATTGAGGAGTAAAAAAAAATTAGCTTTAAAGTCAGACGGACATAGGTTGAAACACCAGCCACATTTCCTGAACAAGTTACTTCTCTAAGCTTTGGTTTTCTCAGCTGTGTAATGGGCAGCAACACCTCCATAGCAGAGTTGCCCAGAGGGTTAGAGCTAAGAATGTGTGAAGCCACAGGGGACAGCACCAAGCCCACAGGAAGAGCTCGATGAATTATTTTCTCCTCCTTGCTTACATTGATCTCTGGCTCCTCTGAACTTTCATTACCTTTGATTTTGCAGTCAGAGCTGCAGTTTCTAATTATATCATGGGTATTAGCATCTTCTCCCCAATTTGATTGTAAGGTCCTCAAGGGCAAGGACGGTATTTTAAACTTTATTATGAACCCCTAACACTTAGCACTATGCTAGGCACACAGCATGTGAAGCTATCTCACATATAATAGTTCGTGGAAAGCTCAAGAAAAATGCCTATCATAAAAAGTTTTTTAATAAAATAAAAACTATGCATAGATTTCAAAAATGTTTGCACCAAATTTAACCCATACTTTTAACCCATTTTCCATGAAAATGGAAGTCCCCTCATATTAGCTCAGTTAATTCCCACAATAACCTATAAGTTAGACCAAGTAGCATCACTATCCCTATTTGGCACTTCATGGAACCAGTTCTTACTTGTCCACAGCTTCAGAAAGCCAACAGGAGCGGGACCTGGGTCTCCAAACTCTGTTTATTACAGATACATTAGAAGCTGACTAATCCAAAGAAACCAATTCTCCCTTCCTGAGAACTGCCCATTCCACCTTTAATCCTCCTCACCCTACCTCCCATTCACACACTGGGGTGCCATAGCAGCCATGATTGTCTCACATGGCCCTCTTTCACTGGCCATGGTTGATTGGCTGGCTCAGTAGTAGTCACCTCACTCAAGCTGAGCCAATCAGATTCTACCAGACTTGGAATGAAATCAGTGAACCTCAGTTAGTATAGGCCACTGGGGACCCATAAATTCAAGAAGTACAGGGCCACGAGCACAGAGAAGCAGGAAAGTCAGTCTTTAGACAGAAGAATGAAAGAGGGAGAAGAGTCCAGAGGCTGCCTAGCTAGGGTCCTTACTCTTACCCAATCCTAAATCCCTGTCATTTTCTTACCCTTTCTATGGTTTGAATCTTCAAAGAGTACTCAAATTTGGGGCCATGACTTAGCAACTTTTCATATCCTTCCCATTTTTGCTTAACTAATCGAGTTTCCTACAACTAGAAGACCCTCAACTAGGTTAGACAGAGTCCCAAGCAGAGAGCTGGTTCTTCTATGCCAGTTGTTCTCAAATAGTGGCCCAGAGATCCTTGAGGGTCCCTCAGATGCTTTCAGGAGATCTGCAATGTCAAAGATATTCTCATAATAGTACTAAGACATTGTCTTTTTTATTCTCATTCTCTCAAAAATGTATGATAGAGTTTTCTAGAATCTACATGATGTATGATAAC